AACTCAAACATTGCGTCACTAGCCTTGGGGTGAAATTGGATGCAGGATATTCAATGGTCCCTCAGATAAATACGGTTGTTAAATTGTGCTTTTGTAACCAGCTGAAACCAGTACTAAACCACTGACATATGGAGTCTGTGATACACTCTTTTATTACCTCTCATTTGGACTGCACAAATTCACTGCTCGTTGGCGCTGCTTCAGCTTCGAACCAGCTGCAGATAGTGCCGAAAGGTGCTGCTAGATTTTTGACAAGCACAAACAGACGTGGTCACATCACTCCGGTTTTGGCGTGTCTACACTGGCTACCCGTGACCTTTAGGGTGTGAGTCAACATTTGCTGTGCACCCCCGAAATTGATCTAAAAAGCGATAGGGGGGGGGGGGGGTCCCGACCGAGTTAAGATGAGCCTGACCAGCTAAGATGAGGATAAGGAAACGCCATCAGGGGAGCCATCCGCCCCGACAGCAGCAGATCCACAGCGGCAGCCGAGGCACCGACACAGAGCGTCCAGGGCTGGGAAGGCAGAGACCCCCACCTCCACCCAGGCACACCTGGAAAGCACCCAGGCCACCACAGCCAACCACCGCCCCCGGGGCAGAGGGCACCCACAGAGGAAAAACTGGAAAAAGGTTAAATTAAGGTTAAAATATAAAATATGAGCTAAATTGAGAAATGCAATATAAAAAGTTATTTAGATGCAGCAATCTTCCTTGATCTCGGTTTTCAAGTCAAGAAATTACATCTCCGCATTTGATTATCCCTGTGGGGAGCGATGTGGCTGTGCTTGGGAATTATTTGGTGGTTTAACCCCCCAATCCAACCTGTTAAAGGAACAATGTGTAGTTTTTATCTTTAATCTCTGGAAATATCTATCAAAATGTGGTTGAAAATGAAACAAATGATACCCAGTTGTTGAAAAATATTGGCGGCTTCTTAACATATAACCATAAAAATCTGATCTAAAATACATGGGAGCGGGTCTAAGTGTTAGGGCGACGCCATATTAGATGCCATGTTTCCTTCTACGGGAGCTTTTGAGGGCAAAATGCATTTACTGATTTGTAACGAACAGTTACAAAACGTTCACCATTCATAAATGTTGTTTACACATTTTCGATGTGCTTGTCATTTTGCTGAAGATTGCACTCCCCAGGGTTTTTTGACCCTAATGGAGATCCGTTGGTAAGGTCTTACTCCAAGAAAAAAACGCAGCTTGCTTGCAACAATTTAGGTATCTAATGCCCCCCCACTGCCAGGAAAAATACACACCGTCACTTTAAAGATGAGTGTCAAGCAGGGAGACATTGGGTCTAGTTTTAAAGTCTTTGGCACGACCCAACTGGGATTTGAACCCCAATCTCCCAGTCCCTGGGCGGACACTCGACCACTGAGAATGTTAACATTTCATAAATGTAATAAAAAACATTCCCAGCTTTGATTTCTTGTCAAATGGTTTTAGAGTCTGTTTATATCGACTTTAGTGGCATTTTAGAGATGGAATTGTCCTGTGACCAACTGGTTAGCTGGTCAGTTTTTTTGCTACCTCAGTTTTGGTGGACTTGCGTACGAATAACAATGAAATGCATGTTGATCATTGCATTCTCTGTAATGCAGAATATTTCTGTTTGAAATGCTGTTTATTACCATCATCCATTCTGTAGATGTTTATGATCCCTGCTTGTGTGTAACAACAGTTGTGTAAGGAAACAGACCGGTGATAACTGAATCTCCATTTGCAAGAGTAACATCCGTGCTGATAAACTGACTCCCTACACTGTGATCCTCTATCGCGACCTTCACCAACTCCAGCCCTCGAGGGCTTCCAACTTGCAAATTTGAGCTTTTTCCTTTCTCCAACACACCTGAAGCAAATGGTTTAATCACCTCTTTACCACGCTGAGTTCTGCAGAAATATGTTAATGACTCCTTCATTTGAGTCAAGTGTGTTGAAGAAAGGAAACAGCTGAATTTACACGATGGCAGCCCTGTTAAAAAAGATAAAAGCATTAGTTCAGGAATCAGCAGATATTTAACTCCATCCATCAAACCGATGAAGAAAGTAGCTTCGTTACTAAAACTGCTAAATCAAAAACGGGAACATGAATCCAGAGACACACCTGGCTGTGAGGCTGACAGAAAACCTTCCAAGCCTTTGAGGGGATTCAAATCAAAGCAGATTCTCGCCAACAAACACTTTCACCAGTCGTGTTTGGGCTGGAAAGACGAGGCGTGGAGGGTATTTCTGAGGTTGTGTAACAGAAATTTAAAAAGTTAAATAAAATAAAAACACTGTTTTAATTAGCTATGATTTCCACAACGATGTGAAACAGTCAAACAAGCAGAACAACTCACAGATAAAGCTGTTTGTTTGAAAAAGCTTTTGGCAAAGCTACTCTTCCGTCACATTCTCTGATTTATGACATATTTGCAGGGTTTATTAAGGTAAATCTGCTGTAAAATACTGTAAGAAATAGTTGGGATTCTAACCTGAATGGTCCTTAATCACCGAACTTGTGAAAAAAATAATTTTATTCAACCATTCCATATGAACGTGTGATGACAGGGTGACTGCAGAGCCATCTGTGCAACAAGACAGCTGATAATCTTAAATGTTGCCTTCCCTCCAAAATAAAACAAAGCGTCAAGATCATTTTTCTTATGAAGCTGTAGTCATTACAATAAGTTAGTGGCACAAAACCTCCCAGACAGCAGGACTACGGCCCCAAACCACCCAGGTTAGGTTAGAGGTAATCTGAGGGTCAAACCCAAATCCTTCAGCTTATTAAAGCTATACTAAGCTCTGACGGCCACGGCAATCCGTACCATGTGGTTAGGAGCTCAGACACACGTAAAAGTTCCAGAAACACAGCAGTGGTTTGGGAAATTGTCAAGGCTGTTTGTGTGCGACCGTTTAAACGAATCTCGTCCCCGATTCCTCGAGCTTCTGTTCGGAGAGTTAGAGGTTGTGTCCAACACGGCTCTGGACGTTTCGACAGATAAAAAATTAAAATGGCCTGTATTTGAAATAGCGCCTTCTAGAGTCCTGGAACCCCCCAAGGCGCTTTACAACACAATCAGTCATTCACCCATTCACTCACACATTCACACACTGGTGGTGATGAGCTACGATGTAGCCACAGCTGCCCTGGGGCGCACTGACAGAGACGAGGCTGCCGAGCACTGGCGCCACCGGTCCCTCCGACCACCACCAGCAGGCAACGTGGGTTAAGTGTCTTGCCCAAGGACACAACAACAGCGACAGACTGAGCGTGGCTCGAACCTGCAACCTTCCGATTACGGGGCGAGCACTTAACTCCTGTGCCACTGTCGCCCTCCACATTAAAAATGTAAAAGATTTGAGTGGTTTTAAAACAGCGAATAAACACTTTGATCTTGGTTGAGTTCTACTAGCCGTTAGCTAATCAATCCTGAAAAACAACAACATTTCTCCAAACAGAAGCTGTTCAGGAAGCTCTGTGAAAAAAATAATAAAGGTCCGGTTCACGCGGCAAGATAAGCTGATTTTTGGCCTGATTCTCCTCCTCCAACAGTCTTAAGGATGGTCCATAATGGCTCTAAAGATAATCTTATCAGATATTCTCGCTGTGTGTGGTGTGTTAAGAGCACTCTAGTCTATTCAGAAGCACTTTGTGGATATTCAACATGCTGAAGTGTCTTGGCCTAGGAGTTTATTCAGTTTCCAGAGGAAAACTAAGCATGCTGCCTGTTGAACGTGACATGTAGCCAATCAGAAACAAGGTGATGGAAGCATGCTGCGCTTCGAAGTCATGTTTGATCTGGAGAGGTTTCATGAGAGATTAGGAAAGTTCCTGCGTGAAATCTGTTTGTGTGTTGTCTTTGCCGTGCAGCGGGACACCACACACTGTAGGACCAAAGCCGCTACGCCTACGATCATGTTCTAAAAAACTTCTGAGATTTTTAGAGCCTTAGTGTGGGAACCGGGCCTAAGATGGTAAATTTCCCACTTGGGAAAACAAAGTTTAGTTTGCATTTTGCAGAGCTTGTTACTGCTTGCTTTGACCGGCAAGTTGGCGACAGATGAAGGTTGTGTTTTGTTTCAGAAGGCAGGTGACAAGGCGAGAAGAGAATCTGTCTCAGCTACTGTAGCAGCTGATGAGTACAGTCGTGTGAAAAACTCAAGTACACTTTTATCAGTTCTGAGATGAAAACGTGAAGTTAAAGTGTTTTTCTGTATGCGATTTTACTCGGAAATGGCTTCTTAAACTGCTTCGGTTCCGAGGAATTGAAACAGAAATAAAGAAACGAAGACGCAGAAGTGCAGAGCTTGCTTTTGGTGCACCTCTGTTGCTTTTGAACCTCGTCAGCATCTGGCTCATAAAGCAAACAGTGCTAAGGTGCAAAGACGACACGATGCTCAGCAAATCACAGCATGGTCTGAAGGTGAAGTTTAGTAGAAACAGCAAAAACTAAAGGAAGCAAGAACTCCTTCTTAAGAGGAATAGCTGCCATCTTAGCAGCTATTCCTCTTGAGAAGGAGTTGCAGCTGCCTGCTGCTCCTCCTGTGCATCCAGGGGTCAAGTTCAGCAGGAACATCTTAATATTGATGCCAAATTCACGAGTTTAATGCAAGAATGGCCACAGTTTACGGGATTATAAACCACCTTATGGGAGGAATTAAAGCTACACATAGATGCTGTGTGGTTAAATGGTTTATTAGCCATCTGAAATCAAACTCCAGCTAAGAAATGAGTCATTTACCGCATGATGAAGTAGCTGCTGGTCTCTGAAGGTCACCATGTCTCAATCTAATTTAGTCATCATTTAAAATGTGAAACAAATTCTCAGTCACGTTTATTCTAGCTGTGAAAGCCACCACTGTGTTCTCTTTCTGAGTTAAAAGTTGCTTTAAAATGTTTTAAAACCCCACCAGAAGATAAAAGTTTGGATCCTTTCAGGAGCAGCGGGACCCACAGCTGCGGGACCGTGTCCGGCTTGTCTTCACAAATAAAACTCACCTGCGCGGATGGTTTGAGGACACGCGCACATGCAAACTGTCAAACGGCTCCTTTCCTTCCACGCACGCACACACACACGCACGAACAGACCGCTGCACCGCCCGTCCCGCTGCGGCTGCAAGCCCGTGTGAGCTCAGCTCAGCTCGTTCTCCGGCTCCGGAGGGCTCGGTCCCGCCCGGAGAAGGACTCTGCCCCGGAACCTGCAGAAGCCAACCCCACCCCGATCAGGCCACGCCCACATGAGGTCGGATACCTGCAGGAATGGCTCTCCTCCTGGCTGCAGATGTCGGGTTTACCTCCCTTTTTTTTTTTACTCTGAACAAACTTGAACGTGTTGCTGCAAAACAAACACCTAGATTGCTCAGATAATTTTCAAAAAGAATGAAAGGATATGATCAGGTGGCTAAAATGTTCAAAGAACTCCGTTTTAATAGGTTTAAACAAACATAACTGAACATTCTCTGGATATTTTACACACTTGCTTGCGACGTCTCACTTTAACTTAAAAACAGCAAAGATTCATCACCTTTTAACTGTGGGAGCTCCATTTATGTGTGCTAACTCCCAAACAGGAGCAATAAACAGGGACGTTAACGCCTCAAGCGGCGTCATAGGACTGAGAAGAACACTCAGAATGAGGTAAAAGAGGCCATCTTTGTCAAAAGAAAACAAGACATTTAAAAAGTGAAGGGGTCTCGGGTTCTTCACTCTCCACCGAGACCCCTTCACTCTCCAGAGCTTCCAGCTTCGAAGAAGGTCCTCAGACAGTTCCCCACCAACTCACTCTTTTACCTGTGAGGCCGCCACGAGCCCCAGCAGCAGTGCTTTGTTTGTATTGGCGGTACTCTCATTACAAACGTGAATGTATGAAACTCTATTTTTGGTTTGTGTGAGGGCCCTAGAACGTCTTCTTTATACTATTGGAAACTGTTCTCTGACCGTTTGTTTTTTCTCTCATTCAACAAGGACGTTGGCAGCATCGACATGATTGCGTAGATGCCCCATTGGGTGCTGGAGCCATATTGCCGCCATATTGGATGGGTCTCCTCAGTCAATGCAGAGTGAGCAACTATGTCCGTTTTTGTGCAGCCTACGGTTGCAGCAGCTGGTGAACAGTTGAAAACGGATCACGAGGGATTACTGTTGACTTTTCTAGTCATTCTGATGAAATTTTATATTTGAAATTATTTTCATTGTTAGGTTTAATTATATTTAAATTGTAACTATCATACCATGGGTTTGATTTTGTGTAAAAAGGTGCTTTTTAGTCGGGTAAACACCTTCCTTAGTAGAAATTACCTGGGGGCGAATAAGGACCCATCCAAGATGGTGGCCAGCCACGACATCAGCTCGGCTAGGCAGCACCAGTTCACAGGAAGTCTATGTATATATGTCTGTGATTAGCAATAGCTCAGGCTAGCATTAGCAGTAGCTTTGGTTAGCATTGGTCTCCAGTGTTTATAAATTGCAGTTGTGGTATTGACATGTTGGGACATGCAAGGGGATGTGTCTAAGCCAGCTTTTCCTCAGTGGACTTTACAACATCACTAACGTTCACAGGGAAGCAGAGACGACACAGAGCTGCTCATTTTCAACAACAACAAAGTAATGTTTTAAATTCAAGAAAACTCGTAATCAATGAAAATTTCTCTGATATTTAAAATAATTAAATACATTTTTCATCTGTAGTTGGACAAAATGGATAGTTTCTAAAATGTCCAGATGCTCCATGGAGCTTTGAAGGATTTTGTGTTACTGGAGAAGTAAAACACGTTTTCCTCAAACCTGTAAAAGAGTTAATTTACATCTAATTAAGGACCAGTAAGACATAAGATTCCATGGTAAATATGAAATGAATCTTACGGACTGTTGGGTTATTTAAACAGAAGATTGGAACTTTTTATTGCAGGGATTATGCAACACTTTGTATTAACTGAGAGACAAGAGAAGAGAGAGTCCTTTAAAACATTTAAGATGATTTATTTCTAAACAATTTAAACAAATTTAAACAAGACTAACTCTAAACTCTAAGTGATGGATGGATCTGGTGTGAATGAAACGTGAGATGAATGGTGTATGTGTGAGTGGTGTAATCAGAACTCTCGTATCCGGAGAAGCAAGTCTGAATGATGTTGTGATGTTTTGCTTCTAGCTACGATCAGAGTTTGATCGGAGTTTCATAAACACATGAGACGCCATGTTGTCGCTCCACACATACCTTTGTTGAGACCTCGGTACAGAACCAGAATGTCAGGTCCTCGGACCCCCCTTTTGGTACCGGAGCCGGTGAAACAGCATCAGCAGTACGACAGACTAGTCTTTGGATTGTCTCCAGGTAAAAAGCGACAGTTGGTTGACAGCGTCAGATGGACCCAGAGGGTCAGTGAGTTCAGCTTTTATTCTGAAAGGAACCATTGCTTGATTGGTAAAGTGCAACAGATTTTATCCAGCTTGTTGGTTCTTTGCTTAAAAAGGAAGTCCGGGTGGCCGGTCCGATACTTCTCTTAGCATGCGGTGAACTCCAGTGAGATCTTGAGAACTGAACTAAGATGGCGTGGGAACTGGTTTTATTAATCTGGATGTTTTGATTATGAAAGTTGGCAGATTTATAAACACCACAGAGACTATGCCACAATTCAGAAAGGAAGGTTCTGATTGGATCAGTGAAAGCTATGTGTCGTGCGTTTACATTACGTGTGTCTAGTGAACTAGACTTACTTATAAAAGCATATTAATCATAACATTGTCATTTCACAGATCGGTCAACATCTTATGATTGACTAACAGTTTGTTTGATTAGCTTTATTAAAAATAGAGTTCTCTGATTTATTAAAAGGAGAGAGTCCTTTGTCTTCATTCTTCTCTTGAGCTGGAGAGGAAGCAGTTTAGAAGCGAATGCATGACCTTGAGGCAGTCTCATGCACTTAGTACTGTGTCAGAGGCATCTGTGGAGAGAAGGTAAATAACCATGGAGGAATAGCTCCTTCATCACTTTACAAACCTCAAAAAGCTCATTATGTTTCTTTGGGGTTATTTAAAATGAATATAATACCAGTGGATGTGCATTTGCCCTTCAGATTCTGCATGCTGTCAAACAGCCAGCTGAAAATATGCTGCAATCACTTCGCAGATCTGAGCCCAAACGGGTTTTCTATTGATGACTACTTCCTGAAACAACATCCTTTTGCTCTGTGACATTTTTAAAATAAGAATTTATTAAGATGACTGGTGGGATTTTCTATTCTCGCTTTGTTTTCATAAAAGGTGCATTTTTCTTTCAGATGCACAAATATTTCTGTCAATGAGACTGACAACATTTATGAAGCTTAGAAACTCAGTTGTGCATGTGAACAAAAACCTTTTCATTTTTCTACATTTCAGACGTGCCTAGAGTTAAATGGGCGGTGAAAAACCATTTTCCCGACATTACTCGCTGTAAGAAGACAGTTCCAGCTCATCACTGATTTGCACTTTGGGAGATATCAAGAGATGGTGACAGTCTCCATCTGCAAGCCCATTATGTGGTGCCAGCCAAGTCAACTGATATCCCGCGTCCCCACCCAGGAGCCGCCAATAACGCGACAACGGTCTGCTTCACAAAGGCTGTGTGTGTGTGTGTGTGTGTGTGTGTGTGTGTGTGTTCATGTGTCAAATGTCTGCTGGTGTTTGTCCTCGACGTGCACGCCAACCGGCTGACAGACAGAAAAGACATCAAGAAGAGTTCTTTAAGCAAATATTTCAGATGAAGATTTGGAGAAATAAAATTGCTGCAGCTGGGACATGATTCTCAGGACTATGACGTTCTTTCTACAGATGTTGTGTGCAGGAACGGCTGGAATCCATCCTTATTCACAGCTCTGAGTTCTGTTGAGAAGATAAAAGTGGATAAACAATTGCACTCAAGAGCGGCAGTGGCTGAGCAGGCCTGCGTAATGCGTGCCAAAGAGCCAAGGTCAAAGCAGAAGAACAAAACATCAGTAGAGCAAAACAAGGAAACAAAAACTAAGAGTGGAACTGTTCCTTCAGCAGAAGGTCACTGGTCATCAAGGATCCTCATCCTGAGAAACACGTGACAGCGCTTTGAAGTTTAGGAAGCAAAAAACATGCCTGAAAACCTGATTTTTCATCCTCTTCTGAATCAGCACTTGGTTTGGGGTGATTATCTGTTACAGGGACATTTTCCAGTGGGCAGCCTTGTTGGCCGTCGTGGTTTTCCTGCAGAAATTGTGTCATAACAAAAATCAGTTAAATATGTCATATAGGAGACGCCTACAGTGGTATTTCAGAAGTGAAACAAAGTTTATAGGATTTACAGAAAGTGTGCAATAGTTGTTTAACCCTCCCACTGAGGTCCACGTGGCAGGGGTGAGGTGGTGCTCACTCCTCACCCCTGCCACGTGGACCTCAAGGGATAAACCATCAATCCTGCTCAATGGTCAACGTTCCTCGCGGGGTCACACCCATTAGGACAGTGGGAGGGTTAAACAAAATTAGGCAGGTGCATAAATTTGGCCACCCAAATAAAATAAATTTATTCAATATTCTGTAGATCCTCCTTCAGCAGAAGTAACAGCCTCTAAACGCTCCCTATAGCGTCCAACGAGAGTCCGGATTCTGGCTGAAGGTATCTTGGACCGTTCTTCTTCACGAAACATCTCTAGTTCATCCAGGACTGATGCTTTTGAGCATGGACAGCTCTCTTTGACTCACACCACAGATTTTTAATGATGTTCAGGTCTGAGAACTGAGTTGGCCATTCCAGAATGTTCTACTTGTTCCTCTGCATGACTGCCTTAGTACATTATGGCCGTTGTCTTGTTGAAAGATCCAGCCCCAGTGCAGCTTCAGCTTTATCACTGATTCCTGGACATTGGTCTCCAGAATCTGCTGATACTGAGTGGAGTCCATGCGTCCCTCAACTTCACCAAGACTCCTAGTGCCTGCCCTGGCCTCACAGCCCACAGCATGATGAATCACCGCCATGTTTTACTGTAGGTAGCAGGCGTTTTTCTTGGAATGCTGTGTTCTTTCTCCTTCTTGCATAACGCCCCTTGTTCTGCCCAAATAACTCAGTTTTAGCTTCATTCGTCCACAGCACCTTAGTAATGAAGCAGGCTTGTCCAGATGTGCTTTGGTGTACCTCAAACAG